ACATCTTTATGGTCTTGTTCCTCTGCAGCTCTTTGACCTTCTTCAGCCTTATGATCCTCCAAGGTCCCTTAGATCAACTAAGCAGCTTTTTTTGTTATTGCCATCACACATCAGACAGGCTTCTCTTGCTTTTTTTTTTAACCTCTCTTAAAAACACACCTTTTTTTTTGTGTGGAATTTGACTCCTTGTGAGTTGGTAGGTTGTTGTTTTGTATTAAATGTAGTTTTGTACATTTTATTCTGCTTTTATTGTTTTTTCATTACATTTTGTTTTTTTCTGGTTTATTTCAGTTTAGTTTTTCATAAGTAAAATTCAATTGGATCTAGATTTAAACATGTTTCTTTGTCTTCCAGTCTCTCATAGACTTGAGTCTTGGTGGTTGTATCCAACTTTGTTTCACCAGAGGGGGAAAGATTTTGTTCCGATTGTTGAAACTTTATCCTCTATTAGGAAACAATTCAAGGTGGGGGAGTATTTTTGCTGTGGGGATCAGCTTTGTGAATGATGTGGCAATTGGATGTTGATATCAGAATATGTTATGCCTCTGACTTACCAGATGAGGTAGTTAATTTCAGCAATTCAAGCCTCCTTTAATGGAAATGGAGTTTAGTTTTAGCAACAGAATTAAAAACCACAACTAGGCTATAAAATGTGTCTGCTTTCTTTTCAACTTGCAAAGTGACATTATTCCCCATGTTAATGAAAGGAAGGGTTTATATATGAGACTGAGTGTACGAATAAGACAAATTTAACAAATCTTTGTTGCTAAAAATCATATTATTTATTTATTTTTGTATATATTTTTTTACCATTACTCAACAGCTTAAAAATTAAGTTCTTCATTGGGAGCCAAGATTCAATAGCACAGTTATGTTCATGATAAATATGTGGAGACATTAGAGCAATTGTGTTAAGTTCAAGAACCCATGACTTCCCTCTTGTCTAAGTCTTGAACCTTTTTTGTTACTTATTCAAAAAAGTTATAAATAGTTAAATGGTAAAGATGTTTTTGTTCCTGCAAATCTAAAATCCAGCTGTTGGACTCAACCAGATTGCAGGGCAGGTCTGTAATGTTTACCACTAACATCTGCTGCTCTGTGCAAAATATAATTATTGAAACAATTTCTAATAGCAGCCTGAGGTCTGGAGTTGCCACCAGCACTCTACGCTGGCTTGTTTAAAAATAAATGAAATTGCCGCACATTGCATCTCTGTTGAAAGCAACTGTTTGACAGTCAGAACCTGCATTAAAGAAAATTAAATAACTATACACCCAGCCAATGCAACATGTAGGTGAAGCATTTACTTCTTATTTTAAGTTGATTTAAATGTCGGTGTATCTTTTGATGAGTAACACATTCTAACCTCTTTCCCTTCACACAGAGGCCCTATTTCTCATGCCTTTCAAGTCAGCCAGATGTGTGTCGATCTTCATTTTTCAGGCAGTGACTGCAACAAAAAAAAAGATTTTTGCCCAAATTTACCAAAATCCACAGACAGAAATCATTATCAAGTTAAAAATGTGACAAAGAAGTCTGGACAAGAACCAAAGTTTATTTCCCAATTGCACACAGTGAGGAAGAGGATAAAGGAGGTAAAAATAAATTCTTCAAAGCTCAGACAGAAAGCTGAAGAAAAGGCGACATTTTGGGGTCACCACGTCTCTGTAACAACCATCATATGCAATTTACATGAACACCAGTTGTTTGGAGGGCAGTTGGAAAAAAAAGAAGAACTTCATCGATAACTCTTTTAAACAATATATGTATTTTTTTAAGTATGCAGTTCTGAGCAGCAGAGCTTTTATTTTATATTTGAAGGCAGTGTCTCTATTGCCTCCTGTTTTTTAATGTTTTTTTTTTTTTTTTTTACTTTAGCCTTCTTGTTGTGCTGATTTATGTTCTGCTTAGTTTTTGTGTCATCATCTAGTCAAATTAGGTTAGTCTGTGTTTGGTCATTCCCTCTTAACATACCCTGCAGTTAACTCCTTCCTCAGGTTTCTCTGTCAGCTGTTTCTAATCAATTTATCTTAACCACCATCTGTTTCTTTCTCAGTAAATCCCTCAACTATTTGAATTTCTTTTCCTGTTTCTTTCTATGCATGTTAGCCTGCTGCTATCAACCCTGCATGTTTAGATTTTGGTTCTCTACTTGTTTCTGTTTTTGCCCCTGATGTATAATTTTGTCTCTAATTTGAAGAAAGTGTCAGTGAGTTTCCTTATTTGAGTGAACATGGACTGCTTATCTTCAAATATTGGTGTTCTCTATTCATACAAATAATCAACAGCATACTTCACTCACTTTAAATGTTTTATAAGTTTGTGTTTGGGTTGGAGGTAACAAAGATTAATACTTTCAATAGAAAAGAAAAAATGCTCTTCATACTCTACATGTGATGGGGGATCTGTGATGCTGTGGGCCTGTTTCTGTATATATAAATCTGTTAGTCTTTGGAAACAGAAAAAATGGAAAGAGGAAAAGGTTTTAATGAGTTAGAGAAATTATGAAAAAGAGGATACCGTCAAAGACCCAAACCCCATCCTCCGCTGCATGCTTTATCCTTACTATATAAAGGAACGCAATGCGCTGTCCTAAAAGGAGGTTGAACAAAACAGTAGGGGTGGCAAAAAGAAAAAGTTTCAGCACTGATTTTGATTAGAAATAAACATTTAGGGGAAGGTTGGGGTGTACTAGTTTATCTAATGTCCCAACTTTCACCTGCACTGGATAAATTAAGCCAACTTCATCAATCATACAATGCAGTGAGGAGAGGAACTTTTATACTTTTCAACCTTTTTTTTACCCGTGAACTTCAGCAGCTACCCAAATTAGTGGGAATTTGATAATTTAAGTGAAGCACTTTGAAAAGGTTTTACAAAACAATTTAAAGGTATAATGGAGGATTTCAGCCAATTGTTGAAAAGACCCTCTCCGCTTAAAACAAAAAATGGACATGTCCAACCCTGTACCCGGGAGGGAACGCTTATTAAACACATGCGAGAGCATGCACGAGCCCATTTCTCTTCGTGCACGCTCTGTTTTAAAGTTGTTTGCATCGCTCATACAAGCTTACTTTAAAAAAAAAAAATTGCAATTTTTCCACTATATCAGCCTCACCACTGGTAAGTGAAATGGGGATGAGCATGTAGGACAGCCTTACATAAACTTATAACGAGAATGATTGACAATTATTTCGATTATCCACCTGGAAAAAGAACATCTTTCGTGATAGCTTCAAGTGGGTTTTTTCTATCAAAAACAAAGATGTATGAAGATATCAGGCTCACCACACTGGAAGAGACAGTTCATAGTAACTCTCTTTTAGGTTTCTGTGAAGCCAGCAGTGTTACTGGCCAATATTTATTTTTTCTGTGGTAAAATTATAGCAGGCTTTCAGCAGGTGGTATTTTGTCCTCCAAACCTACATGATGCAAACAGCTCTTACCTTTGAGAACATGGACCTATTAAGTCAGGTTGTTGTTTAGATGAACATACTTGTGTAATGCACATTTTATGCATGGTATTTAATATGGACCAGCCGCATCAGCACATAGAGACACTTTTATGATTTTCAGCTATCTTTGGAGCAGAACTACATCTAGCAAATGCTATGTCTACATGGACCAAAAAAAAAAATATGTTTTTAACATTTAATTGAATCTATTGTGTAAATCATAAAGAGGGTAAAATGGGGCCCGAGTCAGTTCTAGCAAGAAGTTCAAATTGAAAAGGCCGGTGAGTGTAAGTATGTGTCAACTTCTGGTTAAAAATATTTTTGATAAAACATGGCTTTGAATAAGTGTTAAAAAGAAATCTATTTTGGTGTTTTGTATCATCGCCATGGAGACTAGCTGCTAAAAGAATCCAGCGGTATGTGACGGAGTCTCACTAAGTGCTTCTTTGCTGCCTCTCTGCAACATTCACACATCTGTACTGAGAACTGTCCACACATGTTAACGTCAAGTTTGAACAAGGCCATAAGGTCATGTCTAGGCAGCAGTCTGTTAAGAGTCTTGCATCCTCTGTCATATATTCTCAGCCAGTTTCAAGCCTGTGGCTCTAGGCTGTGGTATGTTTTATCAAAGCCTGTATTAGGCCTCCTTCAAACTAAAACAATATGTTGGTAAGGGTTATGCTTGAAGACAGCCTATTCAGATAGAAATGTGTTCTCCTCCAGTGCTTCTAGAGCCACTAAAAGAAAATCTCAACAGGGGTCAGGTGAAATGACTGGTTGCAGTAATAACAAGATTATAAAACTTTTTTATTAATCCCCTCTGAAGATGAATTTATAAAGCAAATTCCACACAGATCTCAGGTTTACATCATTTTTTTGAACGCAAAATCATGGCACTGTTACTTTTCATAATTTCACCAGAAACAAAAATATGATTTGTGTGGCTGTGGCCATGGTTTTATTTATACAAATGCATCTTTAACAGACTCACTTTAAAAAAGAAAAGAAAAGAAAAAAAGAAAAACACAATTACACTATATCAACATTCCCCAAAACAAAAAAATATCCAGGCCAAGGGGATTTGTTTAAGACAGTAATCTTGGTTGCAAGGTAAATTTTACATTCCACTGACATAATGTCTGACACCAGTTCAAAACTCTGCCAGACAGAACAGTCAAGGAAGCACAAACGGTTTCCCCTTTGGAAGCAACACAGTGATAAACAACTGATAGACAATAATAAACCCAGGGGTAGCATCCAGGTATGACAAACAGATTTATGCAGTGCTTAACCCAACTGTGCAGCAGCCATCAATTTTGTATACCTCTGAGTACACAGCTTTGTGTCTTTGCCCTCCGTCTCCCCATGCCTGTCGTTACTTTTATCCCTCCTCCCTGCTAAGTGCTAATACATTTACATTTTTAGTGCTGCTCAGTCATAAAAAAGGTGGAATGAGTGGAGGCCATTCTCCCATCACTTAAACAAACTTCAGTGAACTGCAATCACTGATGAGCCACCCCACCCTCCAGAGCCCCCCCACCCAACTCCTGTTCACCCGCCCACACAGCTTTGCCACCTTCCCACAGTGTAGGTCAACAGTGTAGCGGTTGGTGTCTTCTCAAATGCACTCACAGTTCTTGGCCTCATCTAGGTCACTCACAAGAGTTTTCCTCCAGCAGAAGGCTCTGCGTTATTAGTTTGTCCACTCAGTCAGACGGTTGGTGGGGCAGAAACAGTTTACAAATCAAAAGTCAGCAACCGAGGTCACAAGGTGAAGCACACGGACACAACATTAGGAAAAAAAAGCAGCCGAGGTCATTTTCTACAGGCTCTAAGAGTCAACATGCTAAACTTTGGGTGGGTTTGTTTTTTTTTGTTTTCTTTTTTAACTACATAACAGTACAAAGAGACTCAATAAAGGATTCACATTTATGTTTCAAATAAAAAACAGATATCTGAAGACAGCTACTAATGTGTTTTTTTTCCTTGCTAAAAAAAAAAAACAAAACACCACAATCTCCAATGAGAGCTGGATTTCATAAGCAGACATAACTCATTTCAAAAAGGTGATATAAATAAAGACAGCTGTGAATAATTTCATCATGAAACAAACACCTGACAAAGAAAATAGCAAATAGCATTGTTCAAATACAGCCTAATCAGTAATGATGATGGTAAATAACATACACACATGTGCTGCAGCACTACCTTACTGATCTCAGGTAAAATGATCGCAAGAGGTAACACCTAAGCTGACCAGCCCTCGTAATATCTCATCCCTGCCATCTACTGAATAAGGAAATAGCAAGCCTACTTTAAGACAGGTGGTTATTGGGTTGTTTAAAATAGAACAATTCACAGCTTTACAAAGCCCTTTGCTGGGGTAGCTGGTAGGGCACATCAATATAGTTGAGGCATTCAGAACAATGAGTCAATAAGACTACATACTGTGTGTGAATGGTGAGCAGGAAAAGAGTACCAAAAATGTCTGTTTTTCATCATTAATGGATCCATTTTGAGCTGACTGCTGCGGCTCCCATGAGTGAGAAAGAAACTCCACTTTCGCCCACGCTAAGTTTGACCTTTCCACAAAAGATACATTCTTACATGTCACAGGGAAAGAGCAAAATACGAATCATACACAGGCAATTACTTAGACGGCGAAGAAACACGCAGCTGTGCATTTACACCTGGGGCACTGGCTGCTGCCTCCTGCAGTGGATTGTTCCCACACAGTTCAGTTAATCGTATCCAGTCCTCTCAGTAATGAACAATAGGTCATTTGGAATGGGAGACCAGAAGAAGAAGGCACAAAGGGGTGCTTCGTAAGTGTCCATGCCAAGGGAAATTGTGCATCTATATAGTTTTACCAATTATACTATGAACAGCATCTGGTACAATACATCATGTGTAGCAGTAGTCTATATCTGGGATTCCTCCTTCTCTATAGCCACGGTTGGTGCCATGTCCAGCATTAGAAACATGGTTGGACCCTTTGTATACGCCGGTGCCATTGGAGGGGAATATGGTGTGAATGATGTAATCCTCTCGTAGGGGTTTCGGTTGCATTGGCTGGCAAGCCGGCATTGGCGTCATTTGGAAACCTGGACCACGAATCTCCAGGATAGTATTATCCTTCTTGGTGCCAGACTCAATGTAATCATCATAGGTTTTGCTTTTTCTTGAACTACTGCGAGTGTAGTGGTCACGAGAACATAAATGTCCAGTTCTATGTCCGTACCAACAGAAAACGCCAAAAATTAGAGCCAGAGACACAGTGGCTGTAGCTCCGCCAATAATCCCTGCTAAGGGTAGCACTGTAATATGCTGCGATTCCTCATTGTCTTCCTCCTCAATTGAACTAAGGTCTGATGTTTCTGCTTTTGCACAAACTAAAGATTCATCAGTGTCAGCATCTCCAGACATCGCAACTTTGCTTTCTGAAGTTACAGACAGTGGCACCATGCAAATGATGTAGCTGGAGCGTGGTTGCAGGGATGTCAGCAGATACTCTTGACGATCCCCCCGTACAAGGGTCTCTGTGATTGACTCCATTGCATTTCCAGTACCTTGTCGGAGCCAACTTAACCTAAAAGAGGAACTTGGCTGAGCTGCACTCCACGTCACCCGAATACTGTTATGAGAAAGAGGTTTTACGTTTAGAGCCAAGCTCTTCCCCACACCACTACTACTAAGCGTGTAGTCTAATCCAGAGTCAGGAAACCCAAAGCCGGGTCTCTTTGAGCGTAGAGTGAAGAGGGAACCCTGGGGTGGTGCATTGGTTGTAGAGCTTTCACCTCCACCTACAGCGCCTTTGTCTTTATTCCCTGTCAGTCTTACTACTTCACATTCCTCCATTTCACTCCCCAGGTCAATCAAAGCCATGTCTCGGACTCTGTCTGGTCCATGGCAAGTGAGGCCTCTAACTGTAATGGTGTTACCACGGGCACGGAGCCAATCATAGAGCCATCTCAGGTTGCAACCACAGTGCCAAGGATTCCCACGCACCAGAAGTTGACCAAGACTGTCAAGGTCTTTGAAAAGTCCCCTTGGAAGTGTAGTTAGGTTATTCCCTGACAAGTCCAGCCTCTGCAACCTGTGCATGCCGTCCAAGGACCCACGTGGCATGTGGGTCAATGCATTTTCTTGTAGAGAGAGTCGCTGTAAATGGGCACTTGGCAGGTTAACGGGTGGAGTTTGGAGGGAATTGCGCACAAGGGACAACTCTGTCAAGTTAGAAAGGCGAGAAAATGTGTCATCTGCAATGCGCTGGTTTGCCAAAAGGTTCCCATCCAAAACAAGACACCTTAATGAGTTGAGTCCTCGGAAAGCATGTGTAGGGATAGTAGAGATCCGGTTATCATCCAGACGTAGTTCTTCTAAAGAAGCTGGAAGTCCTGAGGGAATACTAGACAGGTGATTGCGTGAAAGAAAAAGCAAGCGTAACCGTGGGTTGTCAGCAAAGGCTTGATCTTCAATGGAGACAGTGGAAATAGAGTTGTCGTCCAAGTGTAGCTTTTCTAACAAGGGCATCCGAGCCAGCGTGCTACGAGGAATGGTGCGAATATTGTTGTCCTGCAGATGCAGCTCCCGCACAGATGGCGGAAGGTGTATGGGAAATTCATCCAACTCATTATCATAGAGGTAGACAACTCGTACAGACAGCTGACGCTCCAAGGAGGTGGGGAGGCCTGGGTTGTTTATGTGGTTGTTCTGCAGGTAGAGGACAGATGCAGAGGGAGGCAGGGAGGGGATGGAGCTCAGCCCACGATCATTACAATAGATAAAATCCTCATCACACCTGCATACAGATGGGCAAGTCATGTCTATGTCTCCAATATATCCTTGTATAGTTGCTACAGCAATCCCAGTGTGTATAGTCAGGCAAAGGAACAGCACGAAGAGCCGGGCATCAGATTTGGCAGTGCAAGCAGGTGCCATTATTAGGAGCATGAAGACTGTCTCTTTTTTCCAAAATTTGGAGTTATATTTTAATATGCTGCACTGGTCTGGAATCCTGCGACCTCCACCCTGAGAGACAGAGAGGGGGGAAAAAAAACAGGAAAGCAGTTAAAATTGATGGGGGAGTCAACATAACAGTGAACAGATGAAAACAAATTGGATTTGGAATTTGCTTAAAAAAAAGCTGGAAATATTAAAACACACATTGTAATGTGGGCTTTCTATTATAGACTTTCTCTAATAGATTAATATAAATAATAACAAAATAAGAAACATGTTTGGCAGTCCTGTGTGAAGAGAAATATCTTCAAAGCAGGGTTTTCATTTCCTGGGTTTTCTTTTCACCCATTAATTCCATACCAAATTTAATACCATAATCTATTCCTGCCAAAACAGTAGCTATAAAAGCGAAATTGAATGTTTTCAGAATTTTAATCTGTCATAAAATAATCCATTGTGGAAAAATAAATATGATCTAACATTAAGAATTAATAAGTCTTATTTAGAATTAATAAGTCTTAGGATAACTTTATTATTTAAGAGTTCATACGGGGCTCTATACTCTGCCTGACAATGCAAACTAGGCAGGGACCATTATGAGGCAGTAAGAATAGCGAATATAATAAAGAAAGTTATGCATGATATTATCAACAGCTGAATTAAGAGGTATTGGGAACTCATTAACAGGTTGGTGTCATCTTAATTGAGCAGACGCAATTTAAATAAGCTGCACTCAGATCTTGATTGGCAACGTGATCTGCTGCTGTTACTGATTAAATGTCGATATAACAGTATAGTGTGGAATTGATTACAGGGATTTGAAAACTGGTAAATTGCAACACTATCAGTGACAGTTTGAGCCCATCACTGTGTTCAATAACCAGCATCTTCCGTTTGCGTTGTTCAGGCCCAGACGGCAGCCAGCACAACCCAACACAAGTATTGATTTTTCCACAAATCCGAGGTGATCTGCCAGAGTGAGTCGCCTCTTATAGAGATTACAGGATTCAGAGGAGTGTAAGTCAAATAGCGATAATTAGCCAAATGAATGACAAACTCTGCTGGGAGTCAAATTTGGTAAACGCACATCTGCAAACATTACCCTCAACATTCTTTTTTTTTTTTTTTTACTGCCAGACTCACCTCAGATTGCTTTTGGTGAATTTGTTTGAGTGTAATGAATCACTGTTTCATTAAAGAAACCAAAGCAAACACTCCAGGAGCTGTAGAGCTGAAGTAGATTGGGGATAATTTAAAGGAAAAATCAGTAACGTGTATCATTTGTCAATCTAAATGTTTGTAGAAGATTACCTTTAATCTTGACAAATATTGAGGTTGTTAGTGTGGGGGCATGTTAATGCATCACTCTGGCTAAAGGGGATTTCAGGGTCTGATTATCAAACGGATCTGAGCAAGTGTTTGCCTGTTGGTTGAGGAAAATAAATTTATTTTGAATTGAGTTGAAGGGGGCTTGAGAATTTTTACCTGGATCAATTTGTAGCTTGAACCAATCTTTAATTTTTAACCTTTAACTCCAAAAAAACTTAAGATCAGCCAAAAGAAACTATCTTTATTAGAGCAGCTCCTATAAAAAAAAATGTATTTTTGTATTTTGACATTTAAAACTGTTGTATGACTTTTTTTATTCCTCAGAGTCACCTGCAGCTGCATGGTACTCTTATTTAAGACAAAGAAAAAATTGTAACGCTTTATCATTTAATATATATATATTTTTTTTTACATTTTTTACTCATTGAATTAAATTTAGAAATAGTCGTAAGGGGTATTAAGTCAATTGTTAATAAGTCAAACTGATTTGATTCATCAGAATGATTATATTCATAAAAACTATGATGCTAATTATCCCATTACAGTTTGTTTGAATTAAGGGGAATCATTTGTACACATCACAGACGCTCTCATGTTAAAGAGCAAGAACTTGGTAACTGGTCCGTTCTCTCATTGTTTCAGCTCATTGGCTGTTAGTACTGTTCATAGGTCGTCTCATCTCTGACAGTATGAATATATATGGTACTGAAAAGCTACTTGAGAGTAGCTGAGAAGGTAAGAGTGGAACGTCTGTAAGGCTGCTGACTGCAGGCTAGTAGATAGGACAACCGCTGAACAAGCTATATGGTAATACTGTGTAAACTGCTGCATGTTTACTAAGGCTTTTATAACATGAGAATCTAACACCGGCTTTGTTAAAAGCTATGTACATCATGTATTTGAAATGAGACAGTTTTCTAAGGTGGAGAAGCGCAAGCTTTGATGTAACTTTCAGAAGTCTTTTCTTTTGTAAGAAAAAAAGTGTCTTTTTAACAAAGCCTTTTTTTTTTTTAAAAAAAAAGTCTGCAATCACCACTTTTAAGCTATTTCTAAAGAGTCTTGTGTTTTTTTTTTTAAGTGATTGCTACAGTTTTATGACTATGAACGGTTTGATGATAAAACTAAACTTGGTCAACAACATCAACTGTCCTCCAACTTGACGAAATATTCAGATTCACCTACAACCCACTAATTCACTTTCATGCCTACTTCCACTCCAGTCCCCTTGATGCAGCAGAGTGGAGTCAGTGCACTTTAAAGTGGAACCTGAAGAGTGAAATAAAAAATTTAAAAAGTGGAGATTGTTACTTTACACAGTTTGATATTGACTCGGTTTATGCGAGGAAAGGAGGATACACGCTGTTTTCTGCTGTAAATGTTCTTAGGGTTGTGGTACCAGTCTGTTTGTGTGTGGGTGTGGAGGAGATGGAATCAGACTAGCAGACTAGTGCTAAAGAATGGATGACTTTTGAATCCCAAGAGTTTAAGCAGTGAGTCTCTTGAACACTAGAGTATTTGGGTCAGCCCTCTAAAAACAAGATAGATGTGGTGTGAGATTGAAGCGGCGCAGAGAGCCAGAGGGATTAAAAGAGCATATTGAGCTGTGATTCCCTGGATTAAGCAGGTGCTACATGGAATAAAAACACACATTGTATGGCTTTTCTTTCTTTTATTCCTTGTGCTTGCTCATTTTTCTTCCTTTCTCTGTGACAGAATGGTCCAAAAATCTAAAGCAAGGCTTACAGCTTTTTGTGTTTGTGAATACTTAAGGAGATCTCTTTGTTTATCTGTCCATGCGTAATCAGATTGAAAGCACAGACCCACATCTGGGCTTTTGACTGTGTTCTATGGTGGAGAGGAAAGTCAGGATATGGGTTAATGTATGACCTAGACAGCAAGTCGCCCAGATATACCCAAATACACCCCATTTAATACTGAAACCCAGAAATGGATCAATTTACATAAAAAAAAAGACAGGTGTGAGGTAAGAGCGACCGCAAGAAGGTTTAAGCTAGAATGAATTCCTTCTCCTTATTATGACTGAGTTCACTATAAAGTCCCCCCTATATATAGTACAGCAACTTTTAAACCGAGTGTGCACAAGGAGAAATGGTCTTGTGCATGCTCTTGCACACGCATTTTTTGTTTGGAGAGGGTGGCTCTTTTAAAAAATTTGAAAAAATCCTCCACAATACCTTTAATTACGGTAGTAAATATAAGCTCATTGATATATAAATAGTTGAATGAATAGAAAGGAATTTATTTCAGACGATTTGACAAATAATAATAACGCACATACATTTAAAAAAATACTTCAAACAAACAACCAAATACACACAAAAAGAGATTGAATAACATTAAATGAAATTACATTTTAATTTCCAAATAAATTAAATTAATTTGAACATTAATAGAAACACAATTTTCCACTAAATAAACTTGTCAGTAAAGTCAGAGAACTGACATCGATTAATGTAAATTGTATAAAAAGTTGGAGTTAAATGCAGGTCAATCCTGGAGGAAAAACTAAAAAGACTTGAGGTTCACCTTCCAGGAGGGTGAGACCTAGAATGGAAAGAGTCACAAATGTATGTCTCACTATATAAAAAGCTAATAAAGAAATCCCCCAACAGATGCTGTATTGGGGAGGTTACATGAAGTATCAGCTCAGTAGTAATAGTATAATTAATGATATAGTCACAAATAAATGCCATACATTTCATGCTCCCTGATATTTGGTTCTATTTTCAAATATTATTGGATAATTCCTTTATTGTTATAATCATGCACTACTGTACTGTAAGTACTGTAATTTATTTAGAGGAAGTTAAAATAATTAAATACAAATATCAAGGCAAATGCTTGTAACGTTTGAAACCTTTAAGATTTAATTTTTTCCTCTTCATGATAATGCACTGTTCTGTTCAAGACCATTGGAATAAACCCCAATAAAATACATTAACTTATATGAAGTTAATCTGCAAAAATGTGAAAACGTATGAGCATGAATACTTTTTCAACACAATGTAGGTCTTTGGAAGAATACAGTGCATTAGTAGGGCTTGCATGTTCGCCAACAGCTGCTTTGCATTTAGGTTTGATGTACCAATACATTAGAAACCTAATTAATCTCCATCATCTACTCCTCCCTGATTTATTGAAACATACAATTTGTATACACCGGAGGAATAGTAAATAACATGAAGAGATTTTTCTCTATCATCTCATCCTCTTATTATTATTTAGTCTGTTCATGTTAAGGATCGAAAGTAAAACTTATAGCAGAAAAAATGAGCTGCATTTTGTGTTAGGTTGTGAGATATTACCCATTTTCAGCATCATTTCCCAACAAATGAACTACACCGAACGGCACAGACACTGTCCATTAAAAAGTTGGATCTGAAGCCAAGGATTCAGGCTAAAACTTGTCCTGAGCTTTCATTATGCAGCTGTCCCTTCATAACGTTGGCAGCACTTTGACACACTCTGGCTTTTTTCGTCTAATTGCCATAAAATGTGAAAGTTATAATTAAATACTTCAGTCTCATTTTACTTTCTGGACTCACAATAGAAGGGATTTGCCATTAAGGTCCTGCAGGGTAATAGAAATTCAATAGTCATCTTCGGTGTGCCCCCACATCATTCACAGCTGAGAGATTCACCTTTAGAGGGGGGTGTTTGTTGGTGGCTATGCTGCTCACAGGACCCTAAAGCCACTTGATATATAGCTTTACAGCACT